CCTGGGTTACTTCCAATTGCTAGCCGTAAGGTCTCCGGTCACATTCCCCCCAGGGGTTTCCTCCTATTACGCACACTAGTCCCAGCCGTCTTTGTCACCCAACCTTAATTATCACAACCAACTTCTCATCTTACCTAAAATCTTTATTACCCGATCCTCAAACTCTGACTTCCTCTTCCTGCCTAAATTTCAGCCATCCTCCGGCACTTCCCCTAGTCGTCTTGGACGGAAGGAGGTCCTTCCTAAGTGGTTCCCCGGCAGGATAGTCAAAACTTCGCTCTCAATCAACTCCCTTGCCCACTATTCTTTTTTAGATAGCACGTTAATTTCAAGCATAGAACCTTAACCACGGCTTCCCGTTGGCTAAATTTGCTACAACCAAGTTTGAAAATAGAGACCCGTCTGCACGCAATTTCTCAAGATTTCCTCTCTCCCATCGCGCTGGTTTAAAAAAACTTTTCAGCAAGTTACTTGCTCCAAGTCTTCCGGTACAAGCTTTTCCCTGTGCTCACACGAATATCGGGGCGCGTGCTTCGCCAGGTCAGAATGCCAACTTCCGGAATCCGCTTCCTTCCTTCCTTCACAGGGAGCGGGTTGAGAGAATTTCTTTATCCAAGTACTTCAACCCCTATGGGCGAAGAACCTCCCTCCTCTCCTCAGCTCCCTATTCCCATCCCCCAAGGGGTAGCCAATATCCCCCCATCCCCCGGGGTGGTACTCCAGTGCAGCCGTTTAGCTTCAAAAATCCTTACCTTTTCCGACCCAACCGCTCAAGCCCATTGGGTTCACGATCTAACTACTCTAACTCTCTCCCTCTCCTCACAGCTCACCGCCTCTAGAACTGCTCTCAACATAGAGGTTGAACGCTCAGCTGATGCGCGAGCTGTCAATGGCGAGCTCAGGAAAAATCTTGCTGCCAGCGAAGAGGCCCTCGCGACAACAGTGAGCATGCTAGCCGCGCAGACCGCAAAAGCCGCATCGGCCCGTTCCAGTCTCCGGAAGAGAGCGGCGGAGATTCAGGCGAGAGATTTGGAAATCCAGAAGATGAAGGAATCTACCAAGCTGTCTATCGGCACTAATTCTGCTAGGAATGCCAACATGGTTCGGAACACCGTTGGCTGTGTATCCACTAGTAGCGGTGAGGGGGTTGAAAATCTGGACGGCCGTGAGTCACCAAGTAACGTGGGTTCTGGAAGCGCTCGCCGGGCAGCGCTTGAGAAAGCACTCCTAGAAAAGACCCAGTTGCTCAAGGCAGAGGAGTGCCGCGCTGTTGGCCTACGCAAACTCCTCAATTCGGCCATGGAGGAATTTGGCCGTTTGAAAACGCGTCTAGCAGAAGTTACTGACTCAGACAGACCTCCGCTTCCTGAAACACCGAGATACAGAAATGAGAATCTCTGCACACCAACGGGACGCGAGAAGCAACGATCGAGAAAACCTCACCAGTCAAGTAATAATAGAAACAACAGCTACAAGAAAAGTGCCCCGAGGCAACGGGCCGAATGGATTTTCGGGGAAGAAGCAGAGAGATCACTGTCCGGCACAACCGCAGAAATAGGTACCAAATCGCCCTTAGTGATACATATCAACGAAAGAGATACAGTTTGGTCCCTGGAGGGTGGTGATCCGTTTATAAGAGTAAATCAAGGCAGCCGGTATATGACGTTCCCTCCAGAGGTAGCGCCGAGGTCCTATCGTCCTGACGCTGGAAGGAGAAGGGGAAACGCTTTCTTTGCAATTTAAAGATTTCCGATGCGTGGGAGGTACCAGGTTTTTCCACGCTGTCCGGCCTATGTTTCCTATTTCACCTTCCCTTCTCGATTCCGCTATTCTACTAGTATAACAAAGGGCTCACCTTCCTTATTTCCTATGACTATGTTATCATGCACAGTGCATATTTTTCACAATTATGGTACAGCAGTTGACGGAAGCTGTTCCTCCCTCGTTGAAATGACCAGAAGTGAATACGTAACCATACCGCACTCGAATCTGTTCTCTGTATATCACGCCTATCCACACCGTGTCACCTGAGATACAAATTGGGAGTTGAGCCAATGTATCACATCTAAACGAATCCCGTATGATATATGGGAAAGTAGTGTAAAGACAGTATAATCCACAAAGAAGCTCCATCGCTACCCTATGCTAGCTATAGTGGCAAATCTCTACACTACAAGCAGGGGAGGCTAGAGTAGACCTCAACGTGGAAAAGATTGCTCATGCCCTATTACGCACTAATTATGACAGGGGCGACAGTTCGTGAGTCCTCGCATACTAGTCGCGGAGACCTGCCAGGGCCATTCAGAGAATTGGAAGTCAGTGTGAATCCCTTTGCTATCCATGGCATGATACTATGAACCACAGATCACAACCCCCACACTATATCCAGCAGTATTGCTTAGGTATAACGAGATACGAGCTTACTGGCCCATAGAATTTCAATAACTTCTCGCCTAACAGACATAACCAGAGGTGCTGGGCCGTACTACACGGTAGTTTCTACTATCTTCTCTCTCTATCATCACTAAGGAAAATAATTTCTTCTATTCTTTCTTTATCTTTTTCGATTGAGGTGAGCGTTGCATTTCGCCCAAATTAAAAGCCCGTCCTAGGTCTTTAATTAGGGAAGTCAACCGCTCGTCACACCTAACTTGTTGAAAATAAATATAGTTATATCTCACTATGTCCGAGGACCGTCAGAGGCCGCGGTTTTTGCAATTTCTCCACCTATGTGAGGTCTCCCGTAATATAATTTCACTTTTTCCGTGCACTCTACCCGACCAGACAGTTTCCCAAGTTGTCCCTCGCGACTACAATTTACCTCAATGACAGAAATTCTACATTAGGGAGTACCTCTCACGAAGTGCCTCAAAATTTGAGACCGATTTTAGGACGGGGCTCACAGGTGCCCACAGATAATCTACCATACAAATTTTTATCCGTATGTCCAGGTGCTGCTCGGGCCGTACCCCTGGTATGATACCGCCCAGAATCAAAACCCCGCGGGTCATGCACGACCCGCCGGTAGCGACGCCAGAATTACTCAAAGTTTTGTGAAAGCCCCCGGGACATGAGTAAGGTAGCCGAGGCCACTCTTTATAGCAATTCCTAAGAAATCTACTTCCGCAAAGCCATCAATTCTATCAGAAATAAATCGATTATCCCTTTTCTCATTCTGGGCACTTTTGAAGATTCTGAGTTCTCTAGACTAGTGTTCAGGGGGATGGGGAGATTCTGTAGAAGTTACACCTATGAAATCAAATATCTTGAAAATCAAATGTTTTATTTGTAAGTGGGGAGGTAGTGGGTAACAATTATAATTCCTCCAGGCAGTGTGTAGCACCGGTCCTCCCCCCTCCGCCTCTGCCCTTATATCAGGCGGCGCGATCTCTTTTCTACTCATTTGGTATAGTTCATGACCAGTGTTTAACCAGAATGTGGGATCTAACTCTTCAGGGGCGACATATAGTGTTAGCCAGAAATATTTAACATTAAATATTATAGCACCTTGATTTAACACTGTTCCCCAAATATTTAAGCCCCTTTACTAGTTGCGCCTTACTCATGTAATGTATTGGACCGGGAAGGGGATCAGGCGCAGAAGAGAGCCACTTAGTATGTGAACTTTGTTCAAACCCCCATCACAAATGTTTAGCCAAGATCAAATCAAATCTCCGAATTGAGCTCAAAAAAGGGCAGCCTAACACCCTTGCTATCAAGAGCATCCCCCACCATTCTCAATTTCCTCTCCCTAATACTAGGCGTCAATTAAGATTTCGAGATTTCTACCTTTTTAGTGCGTTTAATAACTGATCCACTTGCCTATCTCACTCTTTTCCCGTTCCAATAGGCTACTATAGTCCTTCTGAGGAAAGTAACCCGTGCCATCTACTACGACAAATCAAGTGCCAAATTTTGGTGGAGAACCGTGAGTAACGGTTGTGTGCGCATAAGTAATGATCAGGGGCAGACCCTCAATTTTGGCAAGTATAACTTAAAATCATGTCGTCTCACTCGCTCGACTTATATTCTACCGGCCCCTTCACAGTGAGATCCTTATGCAAATGAGATGGCAAAATAAAACCAAAACCATTAGCTTGACCAGACCTCGTACTTTTTTAATTTGCTAAGTTCTTGGGCTCCGGGGGAAGAGGATTTCAACCTTTACATGCCGCTTTAGGAAAGAGGTAATGAGAATTTGGGTGGATTTACGCTGGGGGGAAGAAACTACCCCGCATGAAACCCTAGTGGTCCTACCCCCGCCCTCGACCTTTTTTGTGCGGTTCCCCCTTTTCTTTTGTTTTCTTCTTTCTTAATTCTATTAAGATCACCTCTATTCCTTCGGAAACCCCCAACCCACCCTCCTTTTCAGGCTTATTTATATCTCCATTCCTACCAAGATCCCCATCTCATCCTTTCCCTTTACAATACATTCATTTTCTCTCCCTCTTTCCTACCACCATTATCATCTCTTTCCACACCTCCTTCATCCTCTCTCTCCCCTCCCCCTTACACCATTTTCATCCTATCTCAACCCTCCCTTACCACTACCTCCCCCCCATCACCATCTACAAGAACATTAAACACAGTCATCACTCAAGCCATTACTTTTCCCTCTCACCACTCTACCACCTTCACCCTTTTTAAATCCTCTTCACCCTCCTTTAACCCTATATCCACCTACCTCATCCCCTCCCACACCCTCACCTCCCTCCCACTTCCTTCTCTCCCACACCCACACCTCCCTCACCCTTCCGCCTTCCCCACCCTTCTACCCTCCACCTTCCTCCCCCACACCTCTCTTTTTCTTTCATTTCTTTAGTTTTCCCAAGCTTTACCAAAAAAAACATTTTCAAAAAACTAACAAATTTCTTTTCTTCAAAAATTATTCCCTTCTGCAGGTATGTTTGTGTGAGATGCTCAGTATTGTCTCCTATACCTACCCGGGTGGTTCCGGAATTTATCTAATGTCTCCTCATCCAGATAATCTCAAAACAACCATGGCTACTGCCAGAATTTCCTTTCCCCCTGGTCTCACCACCAGACCAGGGGGAGCTGGCACTCGCCCTTTCCCTGAGACTGCCTCCCGTTGCCAGCAGCTCATTTCGATGATCTCCGCCTCTTCCGACCCACTCGAACATTCCCAGTTGGTTAATGAACTAGCTGCCCTCAGCCTCTCTCTCTCCTCGCAGCTCACTGCGTCTAAAACTGTCCTCGACATGGAAGCTGTCCGCTTAGCCAATGCACAAGCCATTAATGACGACCTTAGGAAAAAACTCGCAGCGACCGAAGACGCTCTTGCTACCACCGCGAGCATGTTAGCTGTGCAAGCTGCAAATGCCGTATCGGCCCATGCGAGTCTAGAAGATGAGCGAGCCATCGCCACCGCAGTCATCAGAGAGCTTGTCGTCAAGGAGGATGCCCTACAGACGGCTACGGCAATGCTGAATGCGCAAAACTCAAACCTCGAATCTGCGCATGCGAGCCTCCACGAGAAAGACCAAGAGATCATCCAGAAAAATCGGGAAATCTACGCTAAAAACATTGAAATTCAACAGATGCAACGCGCCGGAGAGGCTAGAAACTCCCGCTTTACCAGTCACCGCATGGAGTTCCCGGAGTTGAATACCGGCGCTGTTCGTAATCTTTTTCCTAGCAGTAGTGATGGTGAAGGGAGTGGAAGTTTGGTTGGACAGCGATCTCTGGTTCTCAAGGCCCAGAACGCTGCACTCATAGCAGCATTGGCTGAGAAAGTCAACCTTCTGAGTGTAGAAGAACACCGCACAGCCAGCCTTCGCAATCTCCTTAACGAGTCTATTATTGAGGTTGGTCGCTGGAAGATGTGCCTTGAGGAGGCCACCAATCAGACCAGGCACACTCTCCCGGAGAATACCCATCCCAGAGCTGCTAGATCAGGGCCTCAGAGCTCGAACGTTCAGATCGCGAGACTCAAGGAAGCACTGGCCGAGAAAACCAACCTTCTAAAGGTAGAAGAACACCGCTCCTCTAATCTCCGGAATCTCCTCAATGAGTCTATTATCGAAGTTGGCCGCTTGAAAACCTGCTCCGGATCGGCCGGTGATGCAACCAGGCCCCCTATCCTGGATTCTCCACAGCATATCCAAGATGTCCCCGGCACACCCACCGGACAGAAGATACATCACCACGAAAAGCCCCGTCAAGCAGACAAGGCTCCCTACTCGGACCACAAGAAAGGCTTGCAACATGCCGAACAGATAGAAGATAGGGAAGCAGAAGGTTTGCCCACTCCCCCCGACTACACAAACCCACAATGAAGAACACCTAGTTAACGCTGCAGATGAAGGAGGATCTCTTACAGACGAAGAGAACGGAATGGCGCTCTCCACGGCTAGTACACAAGTCCAGAACGGAGAATCCTTCATTTGGTTCAGCGAAGGCGCTCTGTTGATGAATGAAGAGCCCGGGAGCGAGCATGCTACAGTTAACACCGAATTCAGCAACGAAAGGCCTTCCGTCGCATATACCGACGAAGACAACTTTTACACTTTCAAATCTGGACCGAGATGGTCCATATAACAAGGAGGAACACAGGGATAGGTGATCTGCGTCCGCTCCTTGCTACTAAAGAGATGTTTAAGTCCTACGAGGAAGTCAATGCTATGTTTGTGTTTTTAAAGGTGTCTGATGTAGGAACTTTGTGGCCGCTGGGTTCGCCGGATAGCTGGAGAATGGCTGTATGGGTTGTGGGGAAAAAAATTCGGCACGCATGGGATGACTGCACTTCCATCGTGTTCCTTATGTTCAAGTTCCATGTTTTTTTCAGAATTTTTTCACTCTTTCTGTTTTCAATCTTTTTCAACTTTTTCACTCTTTGTTTTTTTAAAAAAAAATTAAAATTTTAAAACCCCCCCCATCCGCTCCTACATAACCACAAGTAATCACCCATGCGCGAAAAAACCACATGGGGTGCGAGCATATGTAACTCCGGGTCCAGTGTCTTGAGAAGAGGTACTGTTAAGAAGACATCCAATTAGACTATGCATTTTTGATTCAAACCCACCTGATATAATTCACAAAAAGACAGTTGAATTCTAAGCTTGTTCATAATTAAAGAGAGAGAGAAATAAATGCTCCCGGGTATTAGGAGTAAGTGAGGGCGGCTAATAGCCGGTTACCCTCCTATTTCCCTTCGCTCATAGTCGGGCAAAGCAAGTGTGACACCACTTTTTTTTTTTAATAGGGTGATAGTTTGTGACTTGACACTGTGGCAGAAGAACAAACAACTGTAAATATGTATACAATATCGCAGAAAAATAATAGGTTATATTATTTCAATTAAATTCTACAAAATCAGAATTTCCTATAATAGAATCTAATGGAATACATGAAGATTTAGAGTCTGATTTGTTAGTCAAGTTATATTCATAAACTTACAACAGTCCTCAAACTCCCATGGTGCTATATATTCATACTCAATCCCATGTTCTGTATATGAATTTCTAACTCTGAAATCTAGTCTATACCATATACACTTTAATTGTAATATGATAACATCTATATTTTTTTCTGTTTCATACATAATTCCTATTTTTCTTTCTTCTACCAGCAGCCAGGGTCACAAACTATCACCCTAGAAAAAAAAAAAGTACTGCCACACTTGCTTTGCTCGACTATGAGCGAAATAGGAGGGTAACCAGCTATTATCAGCTACACTTTATTTTAAAGTTGTCAAATTTAGAAAGAATTCCATGACATTCAGCCTGGTATTCCAGCCAAGTAATATTATTGATGTTCCTGTTTAAACCATTTAAATTGTTATTAAGCTATACTGTGCTCGTTCTCTGAGGTTTCTTTATCACTCTTTCCCCATACTGGTAGAGCGGAATTACAATTTCATTGCTCTGTACCCTAAAGCCCGGTTCCGTTTTCTCGTCTCTCCGTTGCCATGTCCGTCGTTATGGTCTCCCGTTGTTATATCCTAGGTATGATAGCATGTTCATCTGATTCCGGCGGACTTCATACCACGGAGCCGTTTCCCGATTTCATTGGATTACATCCCCACACCCAGTTTATGTCTTTCTGGACCCCCGGTTCTTATTGAAATACCACGGGTGTAAACTTACCAAATCCAATACATAAAAACTAGTCTATGCAAAAGCAGTGTGAATATCTGGCCATCCAGTGGAATGGCAGTAGCAACACCGAACCTACCCACATTTTTCCTAATACCTCTCGTAGGATTATTGTTAGCCCGATTCTAGAAATGGTACCACAGCGGTGAGTGCCCGCCTCTCGACACCTAAAATTGGCACCTTTAGGAATTTCCACCACAATCCCGTAGAAAGAGCAAGTGGGTACCTATTTAGCTAGTTGAGGAGAAAGTGGATGAAAGGAAGCAAGCAGATTTCCGGGACTTCTTAGCCCACATCAAGCTAATCCAAGACGAGCCAACATAGCAATCTCTTGGTGTATCGCTTTAGCACTGTTGGCGTTAATTCGCACCTATCAGATACAGGAATATTCGACACTCGAGCCGCCGTAGGGATACCATTAGAGAGTGGGGGGCAACAGACCAGTCTGTACTAATATCCGAATAACAACATCCCTTACCGGGCTTAAACAACCAATGCCGTACGTTGAACTACAGCCCCTGACGCGCAATACCGGTAAACAAGAATATCTAACACCAACTTATCCATCACACAATGCTGCAGTTAATCGCGCGTTTGAAACCCAAAAATCGAGTTTTCCTTTGTCCTTCTATACACTGTGCCAAAGCCCCCCCCCTCCTCTGAGACCTCCATCGAGATCTAGGAGGTTTTCTATACCGGTCTGGCTAATCGTGTCTGGTATATTTGCGGTAGGTTACCACACTGTATCATACCACACTATACCGTACCGTGCTCCACATAAGCTTGTATTGCATACCCTAGATTCACCGAGTGACAGTCCATGCCCCGATGAGGGTTAGGGATATCTTGTTTGTTTTTTCCAATAGACTTTTTCCATTTTGGGTTTTCTACTCAACCTAATCTACGCGCACAAACCTACTCCCCATATCCGGCTATGATATCTTGCATGGAGATCTCCTGCTGCATAATATATAGTGCCTCGGTGATTTATGGAAGAAAACAAAAACCCCTCGGGTAGGTACTTTAAGGTCGGATTCATAACCGCACCAGGAGTACAGTACAAGTACTAGTACAGCAGGAGAGAAAAACGGAAGGACCTGATAAATTATTAGGATGTTCAGCTATCTTAAGTTATCTCACGCATCTACCCCCCTGCCCCCGTGCCCCTCCCCTCCCCTCCTCCCCCTGAAAAATAAAATAAAATAGAATACTGCAACGAGGCTAGAGGGAAAACTTGGATTCCTATCGCGGCCCCAAAATAATATCTCGTACCGTGTATGTATAAGTAGGCCAGGGGCTCCTATCTCCCTTCCGGCCCCCTCCAACGAAACCGTCCACCTGCGGCACGGCACGGGCCTATGCCTCTAGAGTTCGTGCCACCTAAACACGTGATACGACGCCGCAGCAGTGGTGCGACCGATAGCGATAGAACAACAATCCGGGGCGGGGTAAGCACCATCATCCCTGCACCCGCTCCCGGATTTCGCACACACACCCCCAATACAAAGGCGGGGATTTCCCGAAAGGAAAATTTAGCGATAAATGGGAAAAGGCCAGTACAACCCGGCCAGTAATTAATAATTATTCGGGGATAACCCCCTCAGGAACATTGGGGGGTTTTTAGGCTATTTTTTTTCCACTCGTTCTTCACGCCGCACGGGCCAGCAACCCTGATATCAGGTGCTTGAAAGCTTTCGAAGGGGGGGGGGGGGTGATTTGCCCTTCTGGAATGAGTGGGATCGACGCTTCCGCTACTGGTTGCCGCCCTATATAAGGCAGTTATATATCCCCGAGCCGAAAGTGGAAGCGATCGACTCTGAACGGGCATCTTCCGAGATCGGTGATAGCGGGCTCTCCTCTTCCCCCCCCAAGGTCATAATTGTGGGACTATTGCTGCGATCATTGGTTACGGGGTAGACGGTAGATGGGAGACTTAAAACTTGCTGCGAGTGGATAGAAATTCCATTAAAACTCATTAAATAAGTCCTCCGAGCACATGCGTCTACCGTAATGCCATAAAGTTCTTGAAGGAGTGTAAAGAAGATGTTGAAGCTGAGGGCCGTGGCTAAACCAGACAAAACCCCCCCTTCCCCCGAAAGGAAAAAAAAAAAAAAAATGAAAACATGATCGAACAGAATCCCAACTCTTTAGTCCCTCATGTCCCTCCCCCCTTTCAATTGATGATGCCCTTATTCGGCAGAAATGACAAACCCTCCCGTGGTGATATCCCAAGTGATAAAATCATCATCCCAAACCGGCTGTACCTCATAACCGAGGTTGGTAGCAGATGACGGGCAGTCGAACGTCAAGCCAAAATCTTCCACCACAGTTGCCGGGCCGGCACCGTTAACCGAAGCCAGGAAGGTACCCTTATGAACATTGGTGGATGGCTTGGAATTCCAGGTATTCCCGTTGCTAGGATACCCAATGGTAGTGAACAGTTGCATCCTGCGACTGCCGGAGGGGGTGAAGCCGTTGGAGAAGCTGATGGTGCACACCTTGCCGGGGAGGGGGGGGAGAGAGAACCCGAGAAGGGTCTTGACGTTGTGCTGGCCGTTTTTGCGGGAGACCTCCACTGTGTTGGTGGGAGGGAAGGCTGTGTTTGGATTGTCTTCCTTGACCACGAGGCCGACTGCCGGGCGGAAGATTTGGGGAGCGCGGAGAACCAGGTTTGGCAGTGCCAAACCGGAGACCACGGTGGAGAGGGCGGAGACGGCAGCGACGAGAGCAAACTTCATGGTTGGTAGAAGGTGAAGGTGGGTTTTTTTGTTTGGAGAGTCGTGTAAATGTGAGGAGGCTTAATGTAGTAGTAGCTGTAGTTGAATGCTCTGGATACCCGGAAGGATGGTGAAGAAAAGGTTGATATCGGGGGATACACACAGGGTATTTATCCTCTTTCCTTAACTCTATCAACTCTGCACTTCAACAGTCGAATCGCAGCTTCAATCTGAATTAGAATCGCACCACCCCCTCACTTCACGAGATCCATTGGCACAGCCAGCCTGAATTGTCTGACTTTACGATGAATGTGAGCGAGAGTGTGTATGACTGACTGCCAAGTAAAAAAAAAAAGTGTGGACGCCCACCACGTACTGCACCGAATAGCGTGATCCAGCACATAAAATCACTGCCCGTACAATCCAAAAAGGGTCACCCAGCTGCCTAATTACTCCCGTCCGAGTGCAGTTAGCCCTCGCTTTTGTCAGATGAGCACATGCATGGATATCCATATTCGAACTGCACTTGCACGAGCTCAGAGGAAAAAACAAGGTATTATACCGAAAAGTACCATACGGTATCCGGGATGTACATGGCACAAACCAAGCTTCTCAGCCCCTCCACCCCGCAGCTTCCCACCCCCTCCACTCAAATTCAGCAGATCTCACATCCCAGGCTCGGGTACAACTGCTTGTGGCGTGTACCCCACCCGGCCCTGGGATGTACTCTACCATACCCACCCGTATCCTAATATGATAAACCCCGCAGAAAAGAGGCAACGCTCATTTAGGAAACCAATAACAGGAAAAAATCTAAGCCTCTATTAGATAACGGTGAGGTTTCTTGAGGATAAAGCACAGGTTAGGCCCCAGGTACCAGTGCTACGACATTTCGAGTCGAGGTCTGTGGTTACTACTCATATTATGAGTGTGCGAAACAAGTGACAACAACTACCGGTACAGTACTCCCACCCCCTAGAGAACGGGAAGAAAGGAAAAGCCCTTCTCGGTAATCCCTTCTTTCTTGTTTCTTTTTTCGTTTATCATACTCTACGAGGGGGGGTTTACTTCCAGTTATCGCCTAAGTTACTTGGCACGAAATAAAAGCTGCTTTATTGTGCGCAGTGGCAAGAGTTCTGATTGAGTGATTGTTCACTCACATCTTCACGCTCTTATCCTCCATGCATATACCCACATGTGTTAGCTACAGTACTAATTTAGGCCTCCCTCTCTCTCTGGCTGCTTGGCATACCCATGCCCGCCGGGATGTATTGTACGAGTACTTTTACTTCAACAAACCTACTTACTAGGGGGGGAGGTTTCTTTTCCCCCCTTCAAGTGCAAACCCTATCACCGGCTCCAAAGTTCCCTGTATTTTTGTATGTACAGTAAATCAAACCCTCGTCAATTTGTTTCTCGGGAACTTCCCCTCCTGTGTTTATTCACCAATCGATTCGATACGAACCCTGTGTGCCCCGTGTTGGTACCGAATCATACTTATTTCTTTTGTATAATTCCTTTTCCGCCAATTTCTGACTGGCTCGTTTACAGTGTCCAATCGTCCAGTGAATTGTGTGTGTGTGGTGGGCCGAATTCGGTATGGTCTCGTAGGGCTGGGAAGGGATCCTATCCGTGTAGCCTACGTTATTAATAGACGAGCAAGGATGATGGTATGGTGTACTGTACTGTGCGAGTATTGTGGCATGCAAGGTTGCTACACGGGGAATTTCACATCGGTTGGGGATCAAGCCATCGAACAGCCAACCACACCAGCCGCGAAGGAGTGGATGAAGGGTGGTGTTCTGGTACTTTCGAAAGCTCTTGGTGAATCAATCGGAGCATAGCCTGCCTCCAGAGGGTGGAACGTGTGATTGAGGGTGAGCGTATTATGGGATAAATAACTGGCAATCTATTGCTGTACCATAGCCTGGAGGCAGGCGAATTGGAGTAATGGCCACTTCCCTTCCGTCATTTCTTCCTTCATCTAAGCCACCCACCCCTCCCTAAGCACTCATTGTGGTACCCAACAAGTACGGTGACAACAAGAGTACCGGGGATTAAGGGCAAGTCTGTCGAACTGCCTTATTGGCTCGATGGACATACAGGCCACTCAGAGCAGGTTCATGCTCTAGCTATTCCAGTACTCAAGCGAGCGTCTGACAGACATCTCACTTCACCAAAAATTGGGGTAAACCGAGAGTTTCCCAACATATTTTACGTTACACACACGCAAGTTCGACGAATCAGAGCCAAGTTCGACAGCCCCCCTGGGCACACCATAATCGCAGCCCACCCCCGCAATCATGCACTCACTACTTTAAGGTCCCAACTGGTGTAAGCTCCGAGCCTTCCGAGCAACACGAGCATAACACCACGGGAACAAATGGTCCGCAACTCCAAATTACTAAAAGGGCAATGATGCTACAACAATACCGTAGTATTCCTAGAGACGGTCCGACAAGGTGAACGTGATCAAAGGATGAAATGAGAAATGAGAAGAAAAAATAGGATCGCGGTTTTCAGCAATTGCGAGGGTTGTGTTTCCCTGTGCTTGCTTTTTAAAGCAGGGATGAGCGAAGGCGTTACAGTATCGTAATATATTCTCAAGGACCTTGGGGTGTGCTTGAGCCTTTGGTCGGGAGTGCAGTACCAAGAGTAAGTGCGATAAACCAGATAGCAAAAAGAAGTGGAATGAAGGAGGTGGGAGGTGGATGACGATGAGGGTTCCCGGCACTTGGTAATTTGCTACGATACCAGCCGAATTCAGCTCCTCTACTGTACTGTAGCTAGGTCAATTAAATCACTAGTCTAATGATACTCGATCTGATCTGCCCCACTTGCGGGACCCGTAGCCAAGTACCGGTACTCGAGTATTGTGGGCAGCCGGGGTTAACCGCGTTTGTACACCCGAACCGAAAACAAGGACACAGAATCATCAACAAATTAACACTACCACCATAAGTTTGAAATCAAAAGAAGTGCGTTGTGTCCCTGGGACTTTAATAGCGGAAAATTTTCACAGAACAGGTGGTAGAGCCGATAGTTTAGTGGGTGTTTAAGGATCCGCAATTATCTATTGTTGTAGTACCGGTACCCGAGTCCAGTACAGTACAGCCCAATACGGTTAATTCTGGAAACACAACATAAGTCAGGTGGATCAGCCACTCCGGTAACCCAACAAAGTACAGTACCCCACGAAGTCAAACTCCCCACTAGCCCAGCCGAACAGCAAACCAGACCGCAACATCGTATCCCACAAGGGACCTCCCACCAGCGATACAATATTCCCGGCTACCGACAGGCTACATACAATACCGGTACCGGTATTATAGCCAGGTTACCTGTCTGACGGCCTGGTAAGGAAACCTGAAATAACTACAGTGCAACAACAAACCCCGCGGAAGCACGGCAAGGGTACCCTTCGGAAAAAAAAGTACATTTACCAACTTGTACTTGTACTTTCTCGCACTGCAGTCCCACACACGATCAGCAGTTCGTACTTGTAGAGCAGAGGGGAACGGAGGGGATGTATAAGACCCTGTGTAACAGTTCTACCGGCAATATTCGGAAGCAGTGGTACTCTCGCCCCTGTAGGAGCTTACAGGTAGGAATACTGCCGGGTTGGGCTGGGCTAAGTTGATTCGCGGGAAGGTTTTAGCATTTCTATTAACAGGGGTAGGGTACAGTAGTAATTGCAGTCAGCTGTAACTCATTAACGTTTGTGAGCACAGCCGCTATTGCATATAGGCAAAATTACCGGCGAGAGCCTCAAGATTCTGGCGGTGTGCGATAGTTAATTAAAATAATAATAGTCTATCATAGCGAACTGCAGGGTAACCGCAGAAGTGGCATACACACCTTACGGCATTATGTCCAAGAGGTGGACCTGGGGCCAACTTCAACCTGCCTAGCCTGTAGACCCTCTGGCACGGGCCCAACCACACCCCCGCAAACTAATCCACAGGGTTGACCAGCATCCAGAAATTCCAACCCCAATAAATTAAACCAAGACCGGCGTCGTCCGGCCTCGAAAACCCCAAACAATGGTAATCGTGTTCGCACACGTCAGTAAATGACTCCTAGGATCGGTATCCGGGCAAGTGAGTGAGTACGGTGGAGGAAAAATAGGCAACAATTGTGCTCGTGGCTTTGAGGTCATGAGGACTAACTGCGGTAGTAAGGAAACACAAGGCAGACTCAAGATCGAGAAACACTGCACAGCCTACAGTATAAGAAATCATAAAACATTGGGGCTAGAAAAGACGACATCAATTACCCCGAGTCACCAAAACCCTCCAATCAGAACTCCGAATTCTCATGTCTCATTTTACGATCTCTTCCACCAGAGGCCGTAACCTCAGGCTCGTAATTATCCGGAGGATACCGGGCAAACTAATCCAGACTTTAATACTGAGCGCCCACCCTAAATTCAGACTCCAATGTTCGGGTTCATTGTGCCGGGTACGTGTAACGACGACGGCATGATAGCACATCAACGGTGGGGCATGGAATCATAAGCCACCCTACCCACGGGACTTGCGGTGAGGGGACGCTTGCTGATCCCGATATCACGGCAGATATATCCCCCCCACGGTGGGTGTCACTCGAGAAAGTACAAGTACCTGTACCCATCACGATCCAAATGCCTCACTAATCCTGAATACTCGTAATATAATTCTGTAGAATGTTTGCCGCAGTGGATTCCAGGCTGGCACAACTATTCCCCCACGGCTTATCCGGCACGGCCGGATCTCCCAGTAGCGTCATGGAGGGTAGTATTGGGCAGTGCTTTGTGGCCTGTTGACTTTCTAGGGTAGTCTGGAGAGGGAAGGGAGGGGAGGGGAGATGGTAGAGGGTTAGCCCTGGTGAGGGGGGGGGTTGGTGGGGTATACCCTAATTGGTGGCATGATAGTGCGATACTGCACAAGAATCGTACATGCGTTAGGAAACGACCGATTAAGCAGCAAGGCCTGCACGGAGTGCAGCGGAAGTCACTTCGTGCCTGGTTACGAGCACTAATCATGTCTGCCCTTTATCCTACAGGGGGTTCTATGACTCCCCCCCCCCTGGAACCCTTTCTATCATGCCTAGTGCCAGGCACTTGAAATCAACGCTATGAATAATTCGTTTTCCTCTTATGTTACACAATATCATACGTACAAAATAGTAGGTTTGGCTAAAATAACTTGACCCCAAAAAAAACCACTCACAGGTAACCAGGAATCCGAGAATATCTCCACGGATATTTCTCCCATTGAAAATCGAAAAGCATAGAACTAGGTAAGTGCATCTTCTGAGAAGTTCTATCTAGCCGTATCTTCCCAAAAAGGTGGCTTTGGTGGGAAGTTTTCGAAAACCATTATCGTGTTGGTTCTTCGGATTTCAAGTGCCAGGCACCATACCAGTATGCAGATTCTAGCCTTCCACTCGTATCACGACAGCCAATTCCCCCGGTCAGTTGCGTGCAACATCACAAAACATCAGGATAAAGCTTTGTGCAACCAATTCTTTCCAACTTTCCCATGAACGAGCCCCATCACATGTTACTACCCCCCTTCAATATAACAATACTACACTATGCGAAGGACATACCGTGTTTATATGGAGCATAGTTCAGTCTAAAGTAGGGTTCCCACCGCAGTAACTCTCAAGAGTTGGGGGCCATTTTCGGCAGCCTTTTGAGGGTTGGCACTTGTGGGAGGGAAAACCTTTGGCCCATGATAGAACAGCAAAGTGCCAAGATACGTCCCAAAGCAGTAAGGTCACCTACCATATTAGGACTATTGTCCTAATTCTGGATGAGACCCAACCCAGGACTGATTCCCAGGGACCGGCACCATCCTGAACAACTATCAAGTGCACAGCTGCACAAAGCCTTAAAACCAACATAATCCTATCAAATCCCCACTCACCACTGCCCATCAATCACTCCCGCACCCCCCCATCCCTCCCTAAGCGCAAGTCCGCCCACTCCCCTCTTTCATTATTCGCACGTTCGATTCCACAAAAAAAAAACAAATCAAACAAATCAAACAAGCCAACCCAATCCCCTCACTGATACTTAGAACCTGGAGACAGAAAAAAGAAAAAAAAGTGCAAACAGTTAACACTCACGTGATAGGGCGCACACACAAAACACACACAATCGCGACACTTGGAACGCATAATAAATGGAACAACATGCCTCGAGAATTCCCGGGGGGAAGGGGGGGCGGTGAGATATAAATATCGATTGACGGGGGATGCCACAGACACGCCGAACTACACGAGTGGTACAGTGTCAGGGCGTCACATTAGGGATACGGTGATTGCAAGCCACTGTACCAGTACATGTACTGTACAAGTACTGTACCGCACTTGGACTGTATTCATTGGACCGATGGAAAACTCCAGCTCACGTCCGGCTCAACCTCCACTCAAGGAACACAAGCTCCAATTCGGTTCTATAGGCGCGCTTACCAAATTAAAAACCAGCACCGCCGTGTAATCATTTGCGAGTATCCTACCAAGGCACCACCGAGACCCTGTCTCCACAAATCCGACTAAGAACCTTAACTTTTCTTTTTGCCTCCTTAGCCTTCGGGTTGCCTGCCTTGTCTCGCGCAATATTGGCCCCGTCCCGTCAGCACTTGATCAATCACTTACATGCTTACGCAGCCTTGGAAGGACAATAGCAGTAAAAGTGCACAACTTATCACATCGTACGGTACACACACACACACACCGGCTCGGTCAGTACGTCAATCCCCCCAAGAGCCTCCTCAGGTTCATCCTCCCTTTTTTCCCCGCGAGGCGGCGAATTTCTTTAGTGCATGGTAGCATTTGAAATAAGCCCCCTCCCCCACCACTACCCCTCGGGTTCGCCTTCTCTGGCTCGCCCGATTCAGAAAGGGAACTTTTTTAGCAGGACGTTTAGATTAATCTCACTCTCCTACCGCCCGCCCGCCAAGCCGCTTCGTAGCGGGTCATTCCGGATCCTTGTGGTATTTCTCCCCACTCACGATTTGTCGTTTGTCAGGAATGTTTTAAAGCCTGGGCAAATTTTCTTGGAACTGGGGGTTACACAGACCGTACTCGGGAGTAAAAGTTAGATAGACTCCGCCCGCACTCGTAGTCTTCTGACGTTTGTAGACACGACTGCTACTTGTATTCGTACCACCAAAACCTTGAGGCTCCGGCAGATTTTTCGCACATAGCATACGCAATAGCAGTCGTGCTCACAAACATCAGGAAAAAATTGCGTACGGGTAAAGTAGCCTTAGGGTTAGCGCCCAGGACTACCGTAAGAACTCGAATAATTGAACCTCGCACTAGAACGTTCAGAATTCCCTCTCCTGGATAGGGGGCTGAGAGCACTGCGAAAACCGACTCCCCGAGCCCCTGCTTGAGATAAAAGAAAAGTAAAAAACACCGCACCATACCAGTAGAGGCAACACCGACGTCCTAGCTCCAGGTTCAATTATTCGAGTTCTTACGGTACTCTTACTCGTACCATAGTAGAGGCCCAGTAAATCAACAACTCACGGCGTCGAAGAGAGTTTTTTTTTTTTTTTTTTAAAAAAAGGGACTGCTACTACATACCGCCAAAATCTGGTACTTCTGCTTAGATCGTAGTATAATAATGCGATTATAATATTATGATAGTTCTTTTTTTAAAAAAAAAACGCCTCGACAACTACGAGCACAGCGTGCAGTCATGTGCATTCAGCTTCGACCACAGTGGACCAACCGTACATGTACTCTACCGCGGCTTGCCCGCCAAGACTAACGTATCCATTCCTAACGTCCGCGGCGTTCGTAAAACGGACCGCTAAGTTACTGCAGACGCGGCCAGAGATTGAGCCAGAGCCTCAGAATCTTTCGGTGGCGTCCAATTGCCGTTCCGTTTTTTGCAAGTGCCGAGACAATGCGAGCACTCGCGTATCATTCCATGGGAGTTAGGAATTGCTGTACGGTCAGTGCTACTGCCCTTGCCTGGTACAAGTACGTACTCGAGTATGATATTTATATCGGTAGGCAGGTGGGCGCTTTCTGCTATTATATCATACCTGGTATTACCCACCGGGGGACGAGAGAGCACACACCCCCGCCTTTCGGCACCTCCAGTTAGACTAGTTAGTCCGGCTCTATCAACAACCTCCGAGTAATGTAGCCCAAGTTACCTCTAAACTACGGTAGAGCACACCCACCACACTGCCACACCACACCCCCGGACAAATAATCGCACCCGTAGCAAGTTTAGTAAAAGTACCCTACCAAATCCCTCCGTTCGACATGAGTCTTCACACCAAATATGACGAAAAATTAATATTCTTCAGAGCCACAACAACCCACCATTGCCTTATTAAAAATGTTTAAATTTTGATATTGGGTAGGAAATCACTTAGGCCTCATCATAGATAAAAGAATGGTGAGATTTAGTCAATGGCTTACAAACGGCATTATACCACCAAGTCTAAAAGTGACTTAATATTTTGTATGGGGCCTCCATAGAAAAAGGGTAGACTGCATGGCAACCACAAACAATGCACTTGCCTCATGTTATCTCCACGATTTTATAGGTTTTTTAGAGTTCTGCAAAAAAAGTTTCGTACGCCATCCTGGGTTTTGATAATGTAGCGTGAGGTTTTGGTAGATTTTTATAGACGTTGATGGTGTCCATAGGGGTTGTAAGAATGCATCTTTTCGGTGGAAAAAGGGCATCTTATTCGAAACAAATTGATCTAGTACTATACTGTAGTTCATCCACAATCGTGGAGACTATCACGGAGGATATTCAGCACTGTACAGTGCTCAAAGGCCATAATGCAGTCAGGATTTTCTCCAGGGTGGGTGGTGACTACGGGGGAAGAAACCATCCGGTTTCGTTCTTCGGTTTCTTCTACACTCCCCTTTTACAAAATTGCCCACGTTTCGGGAATGCACTCTTCCCCCAACTATGATACCGAGTCCTTCCTACTGACCGCCCCTTATCCACCTCAATAGGCCCGATTTTTGAGTGAGTAGAGGGCCGTAGGGGCCAATTCCATCCATCCAAAGTGCACAGGTCCGGAGAGGAAAGAGGATCACAAAACCAAGCGCTTTTTTGAGACTCTATATCATACGGCACAACACAAAAGCATCATTACGCGGAAAAGGTGAGCGCCCAGAAGCCCTACTACCTCACCCCACGACCCGAATTTCACGGAAGGTATCGTAAGAAACCCGGTGGTGCTTCGTCCAGTCGTGAATACCCACGACCGCAGCCGTTCAGCTCCGTACCGGCAATACCGAGTTAAAGGCCTATCGGCAAATGCCAGAAATATGATACCTGTAGAGAACTGCATAGTGTCATGCAATCCCTCCCTCCATGAAGACCGATCGTGTGAAGTAAAAGGCACCTCTTCCGGCATTGTTAATTCAAGTCTAACCCTTCGTACAGCGTGCAGGCAATGATCTAAAAATTACATCCCCGGAGGACTATCATACTGTAGGACCAAGTAATGGGAGGAGAATAGATGTCCTGATGGCACAAGAGCCCCACGTAACCCAGGCACGCGGCCTGCTTTCTTGCCCACAGTGCGTGCGAATCCCGGTCTTGGTGTTGGCGGGTTGTCAACTTTCCAGTATAAAACGAACCATCAACTAATGTGTAACACCTCTCCCGGACCCGAACACAGGTGCGGAAAAGCCTGGGCACTGTTTACGGAGCACGCTCTTGCACGGGATCCCACGGAGCTATCAGGTAAGACATCCCATCGTATTCCGCAATCATCAGTTAACCTCACCATATACAGTAATGTAACGTATCCCCCTCCCTCCATCGTCAAAAACCAAACGACCAAGGCTAACGCACCCGTAATCACGGAAGAAACGAAGGAAATACACCAGGAAACAAAGTTAGATAACCAGCCATCCATCCAGATACCCCTGGACAAAGCGGTTAAGAAGAAGAAGAGAGAGCGCGCGCGAGAGAGAAGAGAAGAGCAGGCGTATATCATAAAACCTCCGTATCCAAAACGCTAATATCATACAACAAATTCAAACAGCCAACCTAAAAGAAAACTCCGCCTTTCCCTTACCCACCACCACCCCCCGCCAACAGCAGCTCCAATAAATCCACCCCGCCAACATCAACGCCCATCTGACTCTGCGTAACGCCGGCATCGAACCCGGCGCCAATAATAGGATCGATCGGGAGCGCCAGCCAATCGTCATACCCATGGAGCATGAACTCAGTATCCTGTATCTCCGCTCCAACGCAATCATACCCTCCCCCGGACACGTCGGCCTGCAGCATGCCAGGAGCCGGAGGCGGGGGCGCCCCAACCCCTACCCTTGGCGACGCAGCCTGCGGTGGGGGCGTATTCGCGGATGTACCGGTAGTAGCATTAGTAGTTGCGTTGTTGGGATTAATCCTGACGAACCGGTCCTTGATACGGTTCGTCAATGTCTCTAGCAAATCCGCGAAGCGTAGCGCAAGGTGCACATCGTCGATGCTGGCGGCGCGGAGCGCGATTATTGTATAATGGATGAGATCCATGCTAGTCGTGACATCCTCCTGCTTCGCGCCGAGCGCGAGAGTCTTTAGTAGGAACATGCTCGCGCCCAGAATCCGTAGGTAGATCCGTACCGGTGCATGCTTGAGGTATCCTCCAGGGCTCATCTCGTTCACGACGCAGGATAGCAGAGCGCGGGAAGCGTCGACGACTTCCTTTATGAAAGCTACGTCCTTCGTATTCACCTGCGTCATTGCGGTTTTCGTGCTGTTATTCACTGTGCACCGGTCCACGACCGCCTGGAGGGCGAGGGAGTTAATGTAAAACCGTACGTGCTCGTACTCCATGCTGAGGATGTGGTGGATTGGGCTCGGGAGGTTGAGGGCGTCGAAGTCGCGCTTCCAGTCCCTCAGCCTGGGCTGGAAGTGCTCTAGGAGCTCCACGTAGCGGCCCGTCCGCATGATGTTCTTGGTCTCCCGGCGCGAGGGGAAGAGCTTTTCCGCCGAGGACTTCATCAGCATTGTTAGGTCAACCCAGCTGTGGAAGATCACGTCCTGGAGTTCATCCTGGCTATCCCACCGGCCAGTCATGGCCACGCTGTCCGGGGAAGCGCCGGCGGAGTTGAGGTTATGTCGGACGGATTGGGTGATGTGTCGCGGGATCATGCTCGTCCAGCCGAGGCGCGAGGCGAGCTGGAGGACATAGACGAGGAGAAGCTTCTGGATCCTCTGGAAGCGGAGACGGTAGCCCGTGTCCGGCGGGGGTGGCTCTATGGAGGGGAGGTGCGCGGGGGTAGTAGAGGCCGGCTCGTCTATCTCGTCGAAGACGCCGAGCTCGTACGCCAGCGCCAGGGCGTTGCCCAGCAACATCCAACTCATCCGGTCACTGCGATATGCCGGCTCTAGTATGTTTTCGATGCGGTCGCTCAAGCCTTCCACCACGCCTCCACCCCTGCGTGCTTTCCTTCGGGTGTGCGAAGTCTCGCACTCCTCGCTGTCGGATGAATCCACCATCCAGTCGCCCTCTTCCACGTCCATTGGGAAGTGGAGCCCGCGTACGTGCCATTCCGTGAGTATCAACAAGCCTTCCACCGTCCCTAGTGTGCGCAGTCCGCGCGCCACTTTTGCGCTGCGTGCGCCCGAGTAGTTGCTGCTGCCCGGCGTGCCAAGACTGCCCCAGCCGCCGCCCCACATGAGCCCTTCGCATCCGCCGCGCACTTCGCGCCATAGTTGGTCGTGAATCGCAGACGATCTTGATTGACCCCCTGGGCCCGGGAGGACCACGTACCGTGATGTTATCAGAAGGATGATGGTCGTCAGGAAGGGTTCTAAGCGAAGGAGTGAGGGATGGTGACTAGGGTGGGAGATGTATTGCAGGGAGGGCGAGGTTAGGGTCGGCGACAACGGGTGTAGATGTTTGTAGAAGCTTATCGCTCAGGTCAGAAAAAGTGTACATGTGTCTCGATTCGGGGTGAAAAAAGTGGGGGATTACTATTCAACATATTGAATTGCCTCCCTGGCGGTGAACCAGCCCGCCCTGACAAACCGAAACTTTTTCCATGCCCGAATAGCCTTTTCCAGCCCATCCTTATCCTCGTGAACGGTGCTGATGCTCAGACCCCCGGCGGTCCCTGGTCGGGCAACCTGCATTCCGGGAGAAGTGGTGGAATTGCTTCCCACCCGCCTGCGAGAATACGGGGAGAAACTATTATCGTCCGCCGAGGAGAACCGAACTCCAACCCCATTCCGTGTGGTTGGCGACCTGCCGACACCGACATCCTTCTCACCTTCCCCATCCGAATCGCTGGGAGATTTCCCGCCAGTGGACAACGGCGCATCCCTCCCCGCTGCCTCAATAAGTGTCAACAGCGCCTCGTGCGAATTGCAAACGGGCGTCTGGAGCAGAGTTTCAGCGGCCGTTGCCGTGTCCCCGTCCCTGCTGTCGACATCCCCATCTCGCTCCGCGAGCCGCGGATCGATGGGCGTGACGAAGGGCTTTCCCGCAAAGCCGGGTGAATAGGATGGGGAATTCGCGAATTCCCCGTGGCCAATTGAGCGGGAGCGTTTGATCGGTGAGAGCACTTCCTCATCATCCTCGTGTTTCCTGACCACGCCGCGGATGGTGCCGCGGCCGCGACCGATTCCAACCTCGTCCGCACTAGGGGTCCTCGTCTTGCGTCTCGTAGCGGAGAAGTAGCACTCTTTGGATTCGCGACGGCAGCGGACGCAGGGCGGGTCGTGCGGGGCTTCCACGGAGCCGAGGTCGCAGCGAACCTTTCTCTGCCGGCAGGGAATACAGGCCTGGTAGGTCCTTTTGTGAATCGTTGGGGGCGGGGGTGTCGGATTCGCTGCCGTTTTAAAAGGCAAATCCTCAAGTTAGTTTTGGGATAAACGGGGGAGAAGGAAGGAGGAAGTGTCAACCAGTGAATCGGGGAGTGGAGGAAAGAACGCACCAGGAATGCCCGTTGCACCGGTTGCAGGTTGAGGAACCGTGGAAAAGGTGGCATTCGGCGATGCCTCATCCGTGGTTCGAGGATCGTAAGACATTTCAAGATTATTATTCGGTTTCTCGCGGATACTCACTCACTCACTCACGGGGGGGTGGTTTGCAACGGGTTAAACCGGTGTCCTCTGTTGAACAGGAAGAAAGGAAAAAAAGAAGCTCGTTTGCCAGGAACTGAGCTTTAGAAGAAAGAGGGAAAGAGAAATGAGTGACGGGGACACAGAGTGGCACTTGCCGACCCCAACCCCACGCCAAGCCCTTCACGGGGAGTCCGTAAGGGGAAATAATTGGATGGACTTTCCCCAACTGGGTTGCAAGGCTGCGAGAGACGTCACCGACAGCTGAGGAGCTCTCCCAGTCGACGGACGGAGCATCAGAGATGAGCTCCCTGCTTGAACCTTGCCGTCTCCAGAGGATCGGAGGCCGCCAATGGGATTGTGAGAGGAATACCATGGGCCTCCAATCGCGCTCGGGGGCGTGGGTTTGCCGGGACAGTACGGTGCCCGTACAGCGCCATTTAAGGCCTGCTGACAACGATTCCGCTCGATGAATGCTGTCGATAAGGTGGACACTCGCCCTGGTGGACAAGGCTCGAGGCTCTCGCGGCCGTCAGCTTGTGTGCTTCTCCATGATAACCGAAACGACAAGCATCATCCGCCATCTACGAGTATTTTCGAGAGAGCCTGATTCCTCGTGCATAAGCGCTTGGCGAAATGTCCGGTCGAGCACAACTCACCCCCCCCCTCTCTGTATTGCTAGCTCGTCATGTATGATATCTTATGCAGGTTGTGGGCTGCAGCGACTGTGCTCCGGGCCCAGTGCGATAGCCCTCACCACCTAAAAACTGCTCACCGTCACACTTCTCTCTCTCTCTTCGTGTCGAAACAATCTTGAACACAACCAATGCTTTTATCCTAGGATTCATCCAGCGTTTTCTCAAATGCTTGATGAAATCCTACGAGTAACTCGATGCCGTCCGCGCCGGTCCTGAACCCGGAACCGAGAACCTGGTTATACTGTACTGTATCAAACTCGGGAAAAGGAGGGGTAAGCAGCTCAGGCGAGGCGTGCTTCGGGATGCCAAAATTAGCATTTGGGACAACGGGTTTCCGCCGGCATAGCGCTGCTGATATTCACCTAGCTCATTTACGAGCGTATATGGGGTATGATATGATAGCTGGTAGCCTGGTACTAATTTCTTGAAAACACTCACCCGAACAGCAAACCCATAATCAAAATGCCAACGTCCGGAATACCCTACCCAGCACACTACAGTAGCACCAGCCTTGACAACATTCCCCTGCAGCCTGTCGACACTCGAGTGCTTCTATCTATGCAGGCGGAACACGAACACTTGCCATACTTCCAAGGCAGCGCCGTCGACAGCCGGCCGATACCGTACAGGTAACCGACCGTCCCTTTAACCGCTCTTTAAACCCCCGGTGCTAGGCTTCTACTGTTTCCCCGCAATATCACGCAGCACACAAAAGCTGTATCCTCGGATGAAACCGGTTAACGTAGTTATTAGCACTCCTTGTTCCGTACCGTTATCTCAAAAGTGTCGGCACACGCAGAGCTAGCGCCTAGCGTGTGGCTTGCGCATAGTTCTCATGGTCTCATGGGCCTAGATAGGGGTCGGATTGTGGGGTAAGATAGTACAGCCACCTTTAGCCACACACTATCCAGTACCGGTACTCGAGTACAGTACTCGTACACTACCGGTATTATTGTACAGGTAATAGCCCATCGCTTCCCGCGCCCCACTCGGACCCTCGCCAAATTCTACTTGGATGCCACAGGTATACATGAGATTTCATAGCCTAAGTCCCACGGGCTCGTCGTCCCGGTAGAAAAAATACTGCCGGTAACCGTGGTTTTACCCGGGCTATTGGGTGGTTCCCCACGATAGGGGCGTTCAGCCCTGCCAGCGAACAGACATCTTTCGAGTGCCAAGCTTCGAACCGGTCTGCAAGATTTGTTTAAAAAAAAGGCGTTACACACGACAAAGTCCTTCAACTCGAAATCCTGTATAAACGTTTTTCGACCCCCGGGATGAGTGCCTCTAATACCGGCACCGGTGGGGGCATTTGGCACCTGTTTCTTTTTTATTCGGAAAGTGCAGGTTCTGAGTTGAAATCTCCTGTTTCCTAGCGTGCACGATATGATCTGTATTGTACTGTACAGTACGGAGCGGGGACTTAAAATTTTTTTTGGAATTCTTCGAAGAAAGGGATGGATGCCAAACGACTCCAGTACTAGAAAAAAAAGAAAAAAGTGTTTAGAGCACCGGCATTGGGTGACTTCCCTTGAGGGATTAGAGCAGATTCCACAAATTTCAGTTTGCTATCCCTACACTGGAGGCTACTATCGAAAAGTGCAGGAAGAAATGTTGTTGTTGAAGAGAAAAGAAAGAAGAAAAAAAGAAAAAGAAACTCTCCCATTTTAAAGATGTGGGAACGCCCTGCTCCCGCTCGCTGCGGTGTTGGCGGGAATCTGGGTATTCGGAAATGTAATGTGCATATGGGAAACCACCAGCCGTTATGATACTCAAAAAAGTGAGCAGCATTAAGACCCGGTGGCCTGGGAATCGATGGGAGCTGGCTGCGTTCCCGGTGAGATTAATTCGAAGTGGGGGTGGCCCCACCCCGATTAGAGAGCCGCAAGGCGCCATATATCTTCAAGAGCCATCCCCCCCCTAGAAATAGTAGGGCTGTGGAGCTATGAACCAACGCATAGTTAATGCAGCCTCTTAATTTCATTTCAACTTCCAATATCGGTATCATTCCCCCGGGAGCGGGCGGGGGGGAAATGGTGAGTGTGGGCGATGAGCAGGTAACGGCGTTGTGGGATGCGCTGGCTCCTCCTCCCCCACTATCACCATGTCATCCCTGCCCCCTCCAGGGGTATTCCAGGCTGGGTTATAACAGATTGTGAGGAACAGGTGAACAGTTTTTCCATAGGGAGAGGCCCTTGAGAGGGATCACTCCCTGCGCTAATGAAGACGTTGGATTTCTCTGCGCCGGGCGGGATTTTGGGGGAGGTGTGTTGTCGCTTCTAAGTAAAATTAGAAAGGTAATTCAGAGTACGTCTGGGTATCGGCATGGCGGAATAACTAGTCTGGGGAGAGGCGGAAAGCGCCGCAGGAGACCTGTCGCTTTTCTCGAACTGTCTTGGTTCTGTTGAGGAGATAGCATTGCGATAGCCTTGCGGGAATACCCTGCTTACATACCCTCAATTTCCGATATATCATACGTGGAGCCCCTATGCTTCGAGAAGATATATGGTAATCAGAGGATGACGCGGTGGGGATATGCTCACTGTGGTGGAGCGCCGCAGAACGCGGGAAATGAGGAACTGGACAATCGATAGAGATGCTAGCCAGGGGCAGCGGACCCTGGATCTCACAAATCTCCAAAAAGCTACCCATAGAACCGGGGAGGAACCTCACAAATCTAAGGAAACAAATGCGAACGACAGGAAGTGAGCAGAACCACCTTATGGCGGATCCTGTGCCGACGAATAAATGTGCATGTCCTTAGAGACAAGACGAGTGCGAGAGAACTCCTGTATTATTAGATCCCTGAAGGAACCAAACCGACAAAGCAATTAGAATCAGCCTGCCTGATGAAGCTTGAGTGTTTGCCCCCCTCTTTGGCGTGATTGAGAATAGGTCTTAATTCCCACGGCGGTCCTATGCATGATAGCCTGCTTTCCCTTATGAAGTTGCTACAGCGGTATCGGTTTGCGATATAGATTGAAACTGTAAACCGGTAGGTTCTGTTGGAATCGATAGAGATAATGGGTTGTAGTTGGCGACGGAAGACAGGGGAAGAATGGTGGAAAGTCAAAGTTGTTTCTGGGAGTCATGAGAGTGCGTTTGATTGTTTGAGAGCATCATAGATTTGTTTGAAGGTTGGAAGAGGATTCCAGAGTTATGGCTTTCCTTTATTATTACGGATGTGGGCGGAGGAACTCGGACATGTGTGGAATCACGGAGATGAGTGTAGTGGTCCATGGGAGGGATCAGGTTGTTTTGATGATGTTTTACCCATACATCCGTCGTCAGCAATTAGTTAGCCGAGTGAGCGCTAGCAGAAACGAAACGAGGTTCATATCATACCTTCCCTAGCTATCCTATCACAGCGAAGTCCCATTCTATTCTGCGCTTTTTACCACTGCGCTATTAGGTATCGACCTCCCCTCCAACAGGTTCAAAGTTCCCAACAATCATTACGGCAACCCCTCTCTCCACGGGTAAGTAGAGACCTAGGAATATGCTTTTTTTCGAGTTGGTACACGCTGTTCCCAGAAACGTATCACATCCTGCCCGGTATCATGACTTGAAAATTATATTCATGGTCGAAACGGAAGACTACACTTTGTCAGTATACCGACAACTTCTAGCTTAGCCAACAGGCAGTGTAAGAGAGCTCCGTCTAGTAAGTGAGTAGTATAGTGGTGCTTTATCTCCAACAAGGTACGATGCACAGGAGGGTAATGGGACTTTGGGTGGTGGCCCAACGCCCACATTAGAGAAAGACGTGGGTACGAGGTGAAGCACTAACCGATGATTCCTATGGGCTCTAGAGCTCTCGTGTGTGTAAAATGAACCCCCTTAGGCGGGCAGGATTTACTGATGATGAAAGTCTGATTCGAAGTTGCTCTTTTTTCCAGCTGGGTTTGCGTTTCGAGGATCATTCTGTGTCACTCGTCCTCCTTGTTTCAGATATTCAGGTCTAGTGCCGTGGGAAAAGGAATACCGGTGGGAGGAGTTTTGTGAGATGGTCACTAGGAGCTTTCACCCTAACCAGATCATTCTCGAACTTTGGGGTGTTGGGCTATTGCTCGGGCAGGGGATAGTGTGCTGCCTCCGCACTGTGGTAGGATTAACTGAAGTGTCTCCTCGGAGGGGGGGCTCAGTGGTTCTCACCGCTCTATCCTAATAGCACTCCATCACCCAGCGCAACGGAAGGCCCGTGGCAAAGCGAGAGTGGTAGGATCCTCCATATGCTGTAGCTCAAAAATATCCTTCCCTCCATGGCAATATACTTGACCTCTATGCAAGGAATAGTGTTTTTACTGGAGACTTTCGGCGCAGTAATGATGCTCGAGCGTAGAAGTATTTTTATCGCTGCAATGTAACAGCCGTGCAGAAACTGCGCGGCACAGAGACTAAATATTTCCACTGCTACGTTGCGATGTATTATTGCACGAACCTCTATGATGGTTTAAATCTTACTGGGAGAGCTGGATTTCGATACACCGAGGAGCTTATCGATCCGCAGCTTACTTTTCCAAATTTCCGAACTCGATTGGGGTTAGTGGGCTTAGGGGGAGAGGTAGTGGGGTTGTTGGTACTGTTTAGCTTCTGGGCCGGGGGAATAGCCCGTCTGACTGCTAGACGGGGCTGATGCGCCTACCCTGCAGAGTGAGGATGCAAAGTTGAATATGTCTGTCAAGCTATGCCACGATGGGCGTTTCCTAGTATATGACTGCGGCCGGATCTTAGGTCCGTGGGGGACCTTGCTAGGCCTAGGCAGTCAATGGTGCTCATGGCTAATTGGTGCTTTTTCTCGTATCCCCCCGATAACCTGGACCAGAAGGCCCAATGTAATTGCCGAATATCTACTACCGCTGTCGTCGCCCAAGAGTTAGCCTACTAGTACTTTTGTATGATATTACGGAAGTGTATGACTTGTGGCTAACGTCCCTCACCGGTATTTTGTGTAGAAAACTTTTCTCAGATTGAAAGTGAATTCTCGTCCAAAGAGAAAAAAAAAGACAAAATTTGGGAAAAGTCTGCAGGCAGCCAGCATATGATATGACGTGGGCTTTTCCCCATCACCCACTATTCACTTCATGTCGTGGTCACTCCAACTATTTTCGTTCCATAGTAACTTGGCTGGCATACTATCTCACCGGATCAATACGAAGTGCGTTGCGGGGTTCATATCCTCCTGGCGTCTATATTCTTAGATTTGCTAAAAGTTCAGCGTTGTCAAGCCCCCGTAGATCACTCCCGGTACGTGGATGCTCCGGGGAAGAGTAAGGAATATCTACCTGAATAGAAAGCGTGGATCCAGTAAATATAGGAAGGAATACGATGGGCAGCATACAATTCCTAATTTCAATACTAGTAACCCAAAAATGCTCTAAAAAAATATGAATGCGGAAATTTAACTAGTGGTCTTAGCTCAAGGATATCTACCCGTAGATTACTTTTTTCCATACAGTGGTCTCGGCGTTTGCCTTAGCAATCGTGGGGTCCATCGCAGCCCCTGTGGCACGAGGGGCGCAAGGAGTGAGCCCCTCCCGGAGAATCCTCCGGATTTTGTAACTTTAGTACCGGTAGTGGACCCCGTGGTGCGGCCATAAGACAGTGATTTTTATAATTCTGGAGTAGATTCAGCCAGCACGGTGATGACCTTTACTTTCCGATCACTAAACGATTTTGAGTGAGTAAAGTCCAGCGAATCAGCCCATATAGTGTCCATCGGGTATTCGTCTTCTCAGGATTCCTCACCCGGACGCCTGCGAGAATGCCTGATTCGAGAACGTTCGTAAGGCACCATATCTTGTAATACTCGCCACAGTAAGCGAGAACTCTCTTGGGGACAAGGCCTTGCTCGTTGTCATGTGACGAGCCAATCTTGACCACCAAAAGCTGGATACTTCCTATAAACTGATTACTCTGCGCGGGAGAAGCACAGTTATGTTTAGATCCCATGTCCGGAGATAAAAGTGCAGTTGAGGACACGGGGACGCTTACCCAGAATCACACTTTATTGCGGTAGGATGGTTAACCTATCTTATCGCTTGCAGGCTACATATCGTATCGGGGCTCTAAGAAATTTTAGGCAAGGTATCATATCATACCGCGAGCAGCACAGTAATATGCATGCACGATAATATAGTGCAGCTATCGTTACCGTGTTTAATGATCACCAATTATCACCCGTAAAATGAGTGCCCACCAGGCTCCAACCATAGCGCTGAACATGGTCATAAGCGCGGACCAAGTTCCAAGTCGGGGCGCATCCGAACAGAGCTGCAAATACATCATTATACACCTTCTAGCACCACCGCCGGTATTAAGGATGCGAAAATCATCATCGTACATTTACCCGTGTCATTTGTGCTAACATGCCAAGACACAAGCTTACTACACTCTCAGCCTCCGTGGAAATGATAACGTGGCGAAGAGGGTGTCCTTCCAGCCAATAAAAGAATTCTCCGATTCACCCAGCAACCTGGTAAGGCGCGACTATTTGTGGCGCCGGGCCCGGCGCTATTTACGGTACACTGCAGCAGGCGACGTGCAAATCTGAAAACTCTGAAACGTGAACCCCGCTGAAGAAGAGGAAGAAAAAAAACGGTCACCATCTTTGTAGATATAGAAGAAATTGTGGTGCTGTACTGGTAACCTTATTCTAGTCGTCTGCGGGATCTTCCTGACCCTTGAGGGAGGTGATGGATCGCAGCGGGCATACCGGTGTAAGAGCTGTGCTGGCACTGGAGAGTTCTAATAATCGGGGTACTATCGATTTAATCATGGCTGACCCAATCTCCTAGGTAACCTCTCTTTCCACCACGCCTCCCGACCGGTACGGTAGTTCACCTACTAAACATATCAGGGCCTCGAGTCTTGTATGGTACAGTACTGTACGGCACTGCATACCCCATGCAGCGATAGCACAATACATTCGCACGGACAAATGGTAACACCGAAATATATCGGCAGCCGGTGTAATCACATATATACACCCACACCACCTTCTCCCCACCACTCCACCGGAAAAACAAAAAAAGAGCAATGTGCGCGATCGAATTCCCCGGTGTGCACAGCCTCGTGGTGTCTTGGATGAACGCATCGCCGTTCCATGGTACCGTGATTGGCCCATGCAGAGCGTGAAGATCAGACGTAACCTTATTTCGTCGGATTATACATGGGGCCTTCTAGAACGAAGCGAGTTGCTGCGGTCAGCGCCTATCAATCCCTAAGGAAATTTTTGGGGGCTCTATTTTGATAGCACGTCTGAGGCGATTTTCAACCGGTTTAGTAGTACTCGCGCCACCTGGGTTCTGACGTGCTAGCACTCGGACCACCGATTGGGAGTGCGCAAATGTGTGGCGGGGGGATTGTCAAAACAAGTGCTATTATTTGGAGGCATCAGGAATACCGATGGTGCTCCATTATTGGGAGAGGGAAGAATATATATAGTGTCGAGGTTCCCCCATCGTGAACTCTTTTTTTTCACCATCCTCATTCTCATCTTCACTCTTCATCCTTCTCTACCTTCCTCTTCTTCCACTTTACTTCTCTTCTTTGCATTTCCCTTTTTTTCTACTTTTTTCCTAATCGCATTAGCATATCTCTTCGTACTTTTTCTTCATCCTTCTACCATCTGCAGCTCAGCATGCTATTCAACTCAATCACCTCGTTCCTTGTCCTGAGCGCTACTCTAGTAGCTGCTATCCCAGCGCCAATGTATGCCCCCACTCCTCGAGAACTACCTATGATACAAAACTAACAGGTCCCAGCACGGAACGGGCTTCAGGATGTGCCTCTGGCCTACGCTTCACGGGCCAAGCCGGATGTTCCCGATGCAAAACAGAGGGCAACGTCGTCTGCGGCAGAGACGAAGATAGAACCACCGACCTCAAGTGCAAGCGCTTCTCCACGGGCCTAACCTGGGTCCCTATCGATAACCCTGGCGCGTGCGGTGTTGACTCCCCTCACCTCAAGACCCGACAAGAATCCACCTCCTCCTGCCCATCCGGAAAGCCCTTCACAGGCCAAGCCGGCTGCTCCACCTGTGCCACGGAAGGCAATATCGTCTGTGGCCGTGACGAGGGCGATATCGCAGACCTCAAGTGCACGCGCTTCTCCACCGGCTTGGTCTGGGTGCCCGTCAAGAACCCCGGAAAGTGCGGTGTCGATGCTCCCAACCGCCCCGCCAACCCTCGCGCGACCCCCACAACTTGTCCCTCTGGGAAGCAGTTCACTTTCCAAGCTGGATGCTCTAAATGCGCCACTGTAGGTAACGAAGTTTGCGGTCGCGATGAGGACAGAGTCACGGACCTCCGCTGCACGCGGATTGGCAATAGTAACGTCTGGGTCCCTATCGATAACCAGGGCGCCTGTGGTGTCAGTTCAGCCCCTGCCTCGAACAATCGTCCCACCTGTGCTTCGGGAAAGCCTTTCACTGCACAGGCTGGTTGCTCCAGTTGCTCTACCCTTAATAACATTGTCTGTGGGCGCGATGAGGATAGGGTTACGGATTTGAAGTGCAGTAGGTTCGGGTCTGGTTTGACTTGGATTCCTGTCGATAACCCGAAAAAGTGCGGTGTCTAGGTTAAGGTTATGAGTTTTTTTCCTTTTTGTCTCTTTCTTTCTTTTCTTTTCTTTCTAGATTTCAGCATTGCATGATGGGTGGCGGTGGTGGTGGTGGTGGTAGCATGGGTGAAGGTTGCATTTGCATTTCTTTGGCGCGCTTTACATTTTTTTTTATTTTTTATTATCCCACCGCATTTTTCGCTTCTTCTCAATCCTTCATTAACCTTACTGAATTTTTTTTCATATTTATTTTTTCGGCATTTGCATATTATTACGGTCATCATCATTAGGGTTGGGCATGGGGGGCATTCATTACACCTGATTAGTTTAGTTTTTAAGTTGGAAAAAAAAACATCACGCTCGTTAAATTTTGGTCCATTCTTGAGTTTCGCCGGTGAATAGTTGATGTTGACCTAGCCATTACGATACTTGACGTACTGTACCGGTTTTCTCTCCACTACAGTCCTCTACTCACTAAAAATAAGCTATTGGCATCTTGCAAGGCACCCTTCATCGGGTGCGTTAGGTAGCGTACCCGGCTCTGGGCGTGCATTATTCCACGTATTGCTGTGGAACCTAGTTCATATCCGTAAGGGATACTACCGTGGGCGATGGGATGGGTCTTTGGAGGTATCCTTCCTTGATAGTAAAGGTCAGAATTTTTTTTTTTTTTTAATTACAGGGGGACACCGTGAGATCCTGGGAATGCAAAAAAAAATTTGGGAGGGTTGCTTTGAGCGCTATGACCCACCATCAAAGACAAATGCCTGTTTTGTGCGCCCCGGCCGTTGAGGTGGTGGGGTAATATCAGATTGGCAGGTCAGGATTTTCAGAGGACCAACCAATGACTTTATTAGGGTGGTACAAGTACCGCGAATTACACCCTCTACTGTACTCGTATAGTAGCACCCCCCATGCATATTACTGTATCATATACTCTTGCATATTGATCGTTCTGCTCTATGTAAGCAAGCAAGCAGAACAAGCGCTGCACAGTAAAGTGATGGGATATTATTGTATATTGTGATTCTGGTGGCATCCCGGACTGGCTGACGCTCTCCTCCTACAGGAGGTATTATCTGCAGAAGGGAGAGGGAAAGGGGTCGGGCCGACATTTTTTCGGCCTTTCGACAAGAATCCGGGAGGTGCAGTGCATATCGGTATCCGCAAAAAATACTCGTGGGTTCCAACAATGGGATGGAAACGGGAGATCTCTCCGGCTTGGCGATGTATCGTTGGATATGATACCCACTTAAATAGCCGGCTGTACTAGTACAAAACGAGTCACCCGATAGGCGAGCTAACCGATTCGCATCCGATCAAACAGCCAACCGACTTTAGCGAAACTCGGACACGACTCTGTTGAGGGCGCATAAGTACAAGTACTGTACTTGCATTATCTGGATTCCTGCGCTTGGTGTGGAAAGTATTTGCAAAAAACTTTGCATGAATCGCACTCCACTTGACCTCCGAAGCTAGTTGAAATAAAAGTAGCATGTGGTGTGGGGTATAGTAATGGTACGTTATCTGTTTCTGTGCTGCGAATTTTACACTAAATCATTGAGTACCCTTACTATATCGCATCGTACCGGTGCCATGATGCGATGCGATAAGGTTTGTGGGCACCGTTCAAGCATGAAGAGCAACTGTCTGTGACGGGATTGACCACACCACGGGTGAGGGAGTGGCGATAACGAAGCTGTGATACGGTACCTGCCAAGCGGTAGTGCTCAAATAGCAGTGTGTATAAACAGACTAACTTAAAGCAGAGTCAAGTATTTTTTTTTATATTTCTTTTTGCATGTACCCGTACTATGCTAGCACTGATCGAGTTTTTTTGCGGGTTCTTGGTCGAGGTGTGGTCCGTATGGTAATTTAATTCCCGCCAGAGCTGTTCAACGGATATTTACTCTACAGTATTTTCTTGTTGTCATAATCGGTTTGGTGGTAGGCATTTGACAAACTATGCTGGGCTGTAATAGAAATTATTCACCAGCATAATCAGCCACGTTTTGGATTACTATTTAAACTAGCCGTCGAATAGCATTTGGTTTTGACGAACTTGTTCGAATAGTTAGAAATGTGGGATTTAATTTAACGATAGCAGCACTGTTTATGTGATGTGTGGGCCGGTGGTTTCTCCCAGAGCCGCCCGCCGGTGACTACTCTATAATACCTCGGGTACCGGTGGCAACGGTATTTTAGGGGTGAATTTTGGCTGAATTATCATAAGATCTGACAGACGACTATGAATCATGGGATCCAACGACTCCTTGAATTTCTACCCGGGTTGGCCGTCCGAGCGCATTCGGTTTTCTGGAGCTTACTCCTCGATCACGAGAAAGATGGGTATAATCTGATAAATTAATCAGGCGTGACCCCACACGGGGCTGGGGGAAGAGCTTTCCAGCCGATATCGATATTATGGTTCAACCTTCATGAAACCTGGTCCAACCAACTACATACAAACCGGCAATGAAATAACTCCTCCAAAACAACAAATATTAGAGTAAAAAAAGTGTGAGAGTATCTGAAATGAGGATGCTAGTTCTCTCACGCTTTTTTTTTTGAAATAAAAGATATAAAAAAAGAGAAATTGAAGAAAGAGTTTGTATGAGATGAAACATGTACTGAAAAGTTCAGTGGAGCAGACTGAGATAAACACTAAGAAGGTGGGGCTCCTCAGACAGGCTGCCCAGCAATGATTGTCCTCAGGAATAACATGACATTTTCCTAACAGGAAATGGGCTAAACAAGGGTCTACTATACTACAGGATTGAACTGGTATACCACAATGGCCGATAATACTCACTCTGGTGGTTCGGTCTCAGCATCGGCAACTCCGGTCACTTCGGCATGTGTTTCATCACTGGTCCACATTTTAGATCGGTTGCACTATACGAAGAACTATGCTGTGACGCGTTGAGTTACAAATCCATTGTGAGGTCTATTGTGCTTGCGTATATACCAAGCTAGCGGATTCCGGGCGGGGTGATACAAGCACTGTTGGCAAATCTGGGGGGGAGTGATTGGATGTCTCTGTCCTTGAGGTTCCACAAAAAACCCCGCTTTTCCTCGTGCTCCACAATAAAATGGAACCTCGACGGAGCAGTCCGGTCACCCATCCTCTACCTGCTCCTGAACCGCAAAGATGTCTCAATATCACCCTAGCAACAACACCAACTCCAATAATACCAACTCCTTTAATACCACCAACTCGTTTAATAGAGAATGGAACAACTGTACCGTTGCCGATGACCGATCTCAAATCTTGACCTGGCTATCACCACTAGAGCCCAGGATACGGCACCAGGACATCCAAGACCGCCGAGTCGAAAATATAGGGGAATGGATCTTACAAACCGAGGAGTTTAGGAGCTGGTACGCAGGCAGTGGGGGAAGTGAACCCGATAATGCAGTTTTGTTTTGCTACGGAGATCCGGGCGTCGGTAAGACGTATATTAGGTATGATAACAGGAATGAACCTCGAGGAATGAAAAAGCGCTGACCGGATGTAATTCTAGCTCATTGGTGATAGACAACTTGTGCGATCAAGCAGGGGGGGCGGAATGTCACCGTTGCATGCTTCTATTTTGACTTCGCCGCCGAAAAGGAGCAATCCTCCGCGAGCATGTTGGGTGCCCTATTGAAGCAACTGGTCGGCGGACTGGAGGCGATCCCCGACGAGATATCGCGAGCATACCAAGACCAAGGGAGGGCCATTGGTGGGCGGGGGCCACGACTTAGCGATATTGTGAAGATGCTACAGACAACCTCTTCCAGAGAGCGTACATTCATATGCATTGACGCCCTAGATGAATGTGTGGCAGGAAACCGAGTCAAGCTTCTCGATTCACTTGATCAAATTCTTCGGGAGTCTCCAGGAACTCGGGTGTTTGTGACTGGAAGGCCCCACATTCAACCCGAGATCGGAAGGCGCCTTTCTGGGAGAGTGACTAGTGTATCCATAAGCCCCAAGAGAGATGATATTATTAGATATCTTCATACCAGGCTCAGCGAGGACACAACACCGGACGCGATGGACAGCAATCTGGAGGCGGATATCCTGAAGAAAATTCCCGAAGATATCTCTGAAATGTACGTACAAGCAATGACACCCGAGAATAAGCATCGGGTTACTGACTGACAGATACACATCTAGATTCCTGCTAGTCTCATTGAATATTGACGCCATCCTGCAAGAGCCAACAATCCATCGAAGACGACAAAGGCTCAACGCAATGACAGATGGCTTGGGGTTGGGGGGTGTCTATGGTGCAACTCTGGGTCGGATAAAAGGACAGGGTGGGGAGAAGTCAAGGCTCGGTATTGCCGCTTTGATGTGGATCTCTCACTCGGAGCGGCCCTTGAAGGCCGATGAACTGTGCCACGCCCTCGCAGTCGAAATTGGATCACCTAATCTCACTACCGAAAACGTTTCTTCAATAGGGACCCTGCTATCCTGTTGTCAAGGACTTGTTGTTGTCGATAAGGAGGCTTCCACGGTCCGGTTAATCCATTTTACCCTTCAAGAGTATCTCCGAGCTCATCCCGAGCTTTTTGGTACAGCTCACGCGACAATAGCCGAAACCTGCTTGAGCTATCTGAATTCCGAGCAGGTCAAGGCTCTTTCGACCAGCTCCTCTCCTGATCTCCAGGACACACCTTTTCTCGAATATTCTTCTCTATATTGGGGAGTCCATGCAAAAAGGGGCCTATCAGATTGCACAAAAATGCTAGCTCTAAGACTGTTCGATAACTACAGTGACCACGTATCTACTAAAATCCTCGCGAAAGGACAGCACTGGTATTGGGACTATGTTTATTTCGATAAGTGTTCCCTATTCAGTGGTCTACACTGTGCATCTCTCTTCGGGATTGGTGAGATTGTAGCATGTTTGATAGAGGTGGAAGGCTGTGATATTAACCAACAAGACTTTCTGGGCAATACACCTCTTGTGTGGGCTGCTTTAAATGGGCATGAGGGAGTGGTGGACACACTGCTCGGACGGAGCGACATCAATCCCGGAAAATCAAGTTGGTCCGGCGAAACGCCACTCTACTTTGCGGCTTCGCGCGGGCACGAGGGAGTGGTGAAG